GCTTCAACTCCATCTTCTTCGAAATGCAACACAGTTGGTACACGTGATCGTACTTTCAGCTCCCGGGTTGACTAGAACGCCCCTCGTAATATCCACCGACCAAATCACGAGGTGAAGCATGGGATTGTGCTCGAATCACTTTTACAAGCACAACCATATTCCATCACAGTAAACCTGATGCTACAGGTCTCGCTTTACAAAACCACCAGCAACATTTTGCTTCTTCGGAATGCCGTTTTGCCAGGTATCTCGAGATTTATCACTAGGTTGATCAAAACCATTCAATGAAGTTTCTGCTCCTTGTCTTAAAACCCGATGATTTCCATTCCTAGGAAGTGTAGACAAATTTGACTTCTCATCATCTTCTGACGGTGTTCCAGACCTAGACCTGGACTCAAAGTGTGAATCATGTGACCTATTATTATATCTTGGTCCAGATCTCAAGCCCCTCACACTAGAATTCTTTGAAGAAAATGAGCCGTATGACGAAGATTCAGGTATAAAGTCTTTCGGCAGAGAATCCATGTCTAAGAAACAGTTCCGTGCTTTCGCATCATTAATCAGTGCAGCCCAATCCTCAGATTGCATCAGAGCGTTCGCATTTCCCATAACCTGTCAGAAATCAGAAACAAAGATATAAAAAAAAATCTCGAGATATAAAACAGGAGGAAAACAACACTAAGGTGGTGAAAGACATAAGGACGGAAGAAGAATCTCACCCAGAGTGCTCTTTTAGCTCTAGTAAGAGCAACATTCATCCGGCGAATGTCTGAAACAAAGCCAACCCCGTGACTGGATGCACGAACACATGACATAATAATGACATCACGTTCTTGGCCTTGAAAAGCATCCACTGTATTAATATAAATGTCTTTTCCTTCATCTGAATTCAATATATCCTTGAACTCCCGTTGGAGACATTTCAATTGCAGCTTATACGGAGTGATGATGCCAACAGACACTTTCCCAACCCCTAATGATTTCAATGTTTTCTGAAGATGCTCATACAAACGAACACAAAACTGCGCTTCCTGTGTATTCTGATAAGACACAGAGCCTCCACGATGAGATTCTCGACCGTAAGTAACATCGAAAAAGACATACGGCCTCAGTAAAGGATCTTTATAATAAATCTCATCTGGAAGATTAGAAACACTCTCACTATCAGTAAGGCGTCCTTGGTAAAAGTACCTCGAGGGAAAATCCCTAATATGGGGATGCATTCTATACTGTACGGATAAAAGCATAGTTGGGCACCCTGCTTGTTGGAACCTCTCGAAAAGGCTTCGACTGTACAACAATGTTCCAGCTGCCTTACTGATGACAGTAGCAGGAAGTTGCTGAGGATCTCCCACAAGAACACAGCGAGCCGCACCGAGAGAAAGTGGCGGCAGCACTGCTACTTCACTAGCCTGTGCCGCTTCATCAATCACAACCATGTCAAAGCCGTGCGTTAGACGAGAAAACAATTTCCGCCCACTGCTCGAGACTGTAGTGAAAACTATTTCAGCTTCATTGGCAAAACTAGCCTCAAGATCTGCACGGGCTTCCTCCAAATTAAAAGTGCCACCACCACGAAATCTGCCTTCCAAAATGAAAAGTCGAGACATCTCGACTAATGTTTTGTCTCTGTTCTCAACTGCAGCTGCAAGTTTTTGAAGTAAACCGTCCCGTGTTTGGTCTCTGGCCATAAGAACATCTGGATCAACGCCAACAGATCCTTGTGCACGAACACTGGCAGCAGTGACAGTGAGCTCTCTCTGGTAGTAAGCAATTTCATGAGATAACTGCTTTTCTCGGATCCTTAAATTGTGCATCCATCCATGAACTTCATCACGGCTCTTCATCAGAAGTAGTTCGGTTCTTCTTTCCACAGAAACTGCCTGTGCAGCTCGAGTCTGCGAATCAACTCCAACCCGAGCGACATCAGGCCGATAAACTTTCATCTCACCGTCAACAAATCCACGATCTAAGACACGTGAAAGCAGTTCATCAGTTGCAGCATTTGAGGGAGCACAGACAAGCATCCTAGGCTTTGGGCAAAGTTTTGGAAGTGTTCGGAAGAGATTGTCATCCATGCTCTGGAGAACTTCATCAATGGATCCAACAGCCACATTATCAGAGCTGCTCTCGTTGACCTGCTTATAGCTTTCGGGCGCAACTTTCTTTAGCAATGCAGTGTAATAGTGCTGATACTGGACAAGATGGATCACATTAAGCATTCCAGATACTGTATGTGTTTTACCAGTCCCAGGGGGTCCCTGAACTAAAGTAAAAGGCCACGGATCTTGCTTTTTTGCCACGCCATTAGATGTACCAGCAGCTGTATGAGTTGCGGCCCATTGAATCGCTGCTAGCTGGGGTCCGTTAAAAGTCTTGTGCAGATATTCAACAAAGTTTGGAGTGAAGCAATCAGGCATTGCAGGTGGCTGTTCTTCATATTTTGGGAACTGGTCAGGACTAGGCTGAAGAATCGCATTTTGCATCTGCAAGAGAGTATCATAAATGTCAAGCATAAAAGCATCACACTGATTGATAGCTGGAAACTAAGTTTCAAATAGAACCTGCAAATTAAGACGACGGAATGCATGCAGAGCTACATATTCACGCTGTGTGGTTGCCAGAGAACCAAGCTGAGTAAGGTACCAAACGTCCCCTGGATGGAGCTTCCGCAGAATGTGATCCTCATTAATCTTGCTACAGTAATAAAAACAAAGTAACAGCAATAAATATGATGCAAAAAGTGGTAATGGTCCCAGCACTAAAAAATAAAGTACTCTAAACTGAAAAGTGTCGTAGGAAAAAAAGTTATTATTACTGACCTGCTCGAATCATATAAATCCCCAACATAGAAGTGGAGAATTGCCCCAATATGTTTTTCTCGGGTATCAATAGGTATATGTCTCCTCACTGTTCCAGCAACACGCCCATTAACTTCTGCCTTCTCCTCATCATCCCTAGCCCCGGCATTATTCCTCCTAATATTGACTGCATTTTATCATTCAAAGTGTGTAAGCATATGGCTTCCCAGTTACAAATCACAGTAAGATTTAAAGTTTATTCTGAAACCAGAAAGAAGAAAATTTATTCAAGAACAAACCTGCACCAGGCTTAGGGGATGAAAGAACTGCAACCTCTCCTTCCTTAAAGGTCCATTTGTATTCATGTGGAGGGATTAGTATCACATCAAACCATCCTGGGAGAGCCAATAGCATAAAAGCAAAATGAGATTAAAAGAATTGACTGCGCATCTCCTTCCTTAAGTACTGAACAAACATACACAAATAACTATCAGATCTGTTTTGCGGTATCTGATAATGACAATATCAAGATAAATGGAAATGAATATTCATAACTTCAGGAATCACAATTTTCAGGAATCAGGAGCAAACAACAACAGACTGGGCCAAAAAAAAAAAAAGAACCACAACAACAGCAGACTGGGCGTGCAGAACTTTTTCATTTTATTTAGATATTGAAATAAAAAAACACTGCATCGAGTTCTAGTATAAAAGAAGTTGGCATAATAGAATAATACCCCTTTCACGCTTTTCAATGCTTTTTATGGATACCCTAACATGACCGGAAACTGTTTCTGATGATTCCTCCCACGAACTATAAAGCTGTGCTCGGCATTCTTCAAAAAGCAAAGGCTCAAATACGCTGATATACTCTTCTACTGAATCAAATTGACCAGGAACACGCTGGAGCTCCTCTTCCTCTGTTTTTTCAGAAATAAAGGAGAAAACATATATGAAACAAATCTACGACCAATAGTTATCCATAACAAAAGAAACAGTCATAACTAAAAGCTGCTGAAATAAATAAGTAAGACACAAGGGATGAAGGAAAAAATCTCAAGGACAAAACGCCAGAAAACTATGCAAAACACTAGCTGCAGTTAGGTCTTGAATCCATTCCACATACTTGGAATGTACAGTAGAAGGTATGTCAAAACTAGGGCTGAGAGTCACTAAGGAACAATTAGCAATAGCAACACTCGAACACCATGTGCCCTGGGACTGGGAGTGAAATAAGCCAGTATTTGAGGAATTCAGAAAATACTGGAATGAATGCAAATATTAGTGAACCTCACTATCACTAGCAGGAAGATATAAAATATATAGGTGTTATCACTTATATTTGTACTAAGACGGAGATATATTTGTACTAGTAGAGATATTTGTACCCTATTCCTGAAGTTATATTTTATCGGACTCTGTCTTAGCATATAAATTGATCTTGCATTCATTTATTTGGCAAATTGAGAACTCACTTATTTGGCAAGAAAATGTTCTTGGGCTATAACAGAAGTAGGCACTGTCAAGCATGTATTTTGTGAACAGAACCAATGGCAAGATACGCTTGCCAATATCACCATAGAAAGGATTTTTTCAGACTTTCGGAGCTTCATGTACATGTTTAAAAGATTGTGTTTGCTGATAGAATTGGTCTACCAAAATCACATATATTGTTTATGTTAGGACATTATTTATTCATGTTAGGAGATGTTGTATACATGTTGACACATAAAAAAGTTAAATCCCACATGCTATTTAAATGTAAAAGATACATAAAATCCTGCGATTTTACAATACCAGTACTCACACACCGTCGCACTTCCAGTGTGTAAACAATCTAATAGGAAGAAGACAACAGAATATGCATCAATATAAGCAAGGAAGAGATAAAAGATGGGATGGGACCACAAATAACATACACTTAATACCAATTCAAAGGTAACCCTCAAATTTCTGAACCAACAACAAGGAGAACATGATCATACTTATTTCACACTTTGAACTGAAGCATCAAGTAAAGTACAGAATGCTCAAGAAAGTCTATGATGCACCTAAACCAAACTGTACAATTGCACTAGAAAGCTTAAGGGGACTGGCAATATTACAAGTTAACGTCATAATGATCATCTGAAGCACATAACTATTCATATTGAGACGTGACTTGAGACAATATTAGAACCCCTTCCAACTTTGACAACTAGTACGACTTTGAAAATTTAGATACCTGGATGATGCCAAAACTTCTCGTTTGTCACCTCACGCAGAAGACGTTCAACTGATGAATCGTGATATTGATTGCTTGTAAAAGATTGCTTCTTGGAAGGTACTTTTTTTGCGCCAAATTTAAGATCAGCCGAGTTCTGACCGCTAACAGCTGATTTCCTACCAGAGTTCTGTGAATTCTTAAGTTGCCTTGTATCAGGGGGAAGCTTCCATGAATTCTGTCTAGGAACAGGTGCTGTTTGTACTTCTGAAGAGAGTTCTGTCGAGCTATTCAAACTTCTAGGAGGTCCGAAATTCCCAGAACTACTGTCACCAATACTTTCAGGTTTATTTTCATTTGACTCCACTAAACTATTTTTTTCATTGCTAGGTAAATCAGATGGATGTGTATCCCTGACCGCGGGCTGGTTTTGCTTATCTTCGTGCTCAGCAGATGGCAGAGTGGTACGAGCTTCTATCATATTCCGGGTTATAGTCGGTGCAGGAATCTGCCTTCTAGGGGTTGAAGACTTTAACACACCAACTTGCTTAACATCTTCTAAATTGAGAAACATGGTCTGCCTGCTACGCTTTTTTCCTAGCATTGCTTCCTTCTGCTGGTCAAATCTCGACCGCTTTCCAAGATTATTTGCATACTTTAATGCATGATTTGCTTCAGCTCCTTTAAATTCTCTTTGTTTCGGCGGTGGAGCAGAATCTTCCGGACCATCAATAGTTCTCACATCTTTCTTATCATTTGCTTCTGGATCCAAACCTAATATAGGGGTCTCATTTTCATTCTTAACATCACGAGAGTTAGAAGATATTGTCTCCACATCTCCAACCATAACACTACTTTCCATCGTATCAACCTTGCCTTTCCCCGAAACCTGTTTATCACTTGTCACACTAGAGTTTTCGTGAATAATACTTGTTCTGCAAGCATCACCAGATCCCTCTCCATCAGACCATTCACCTTCTTCCTTTTCTATAACTTCAGATTTTACAGAACCTGATTGCAGGTTTGGTGCAGCCTTTATATCCTGGCCATTGCTCGGTTTAGAAGATGAGGCAAAATCGGAGAGAGTGTCCCTAGAACTCCTTTTTTCAGCAGAAATATCAGATCCCTGGACAAAATTAGACCTCACAAAAGGCTGGAAACCAGACACCGATGAATCATGGGAGAAAGCATGGTTATTTACTATCCCTTGGGGGCCAGAAGATGCTGTAAACAAGTCGGCTGTTGTCGTAGTTGAAGAAGGAATAGCCCTCTGAGGCTGGAA